CTTCAGCAGCGCCTTTATCAAAGCAGCAGAGAAGGAGAGAGAAGTAACAAACCTGCAGCAGCAGCAGCAGAAGCAGCAGAGAGAGATGAGGGACAGCCCCTCAGCCCCAAAAGCCACCTAGCAAGAGCCCAGGCAATCGCCTTCATGGAGGGCAGCAACAAAGGGAACAGCAGCAGCAGCAACATCAGCAGCAGCAGGAGACAAAAAGGAGACACAACAGCAGCAGCAGCAGCAGCACCAGCAGCAGCAGCAGCAGCAGCACCAATGGTCTCCAGGGTTAATTCCTTTGCCTCAGTCGCCTCGGTTAGAACCCTAAGAAGCCCAAGACCTGCTGCTGCTGCTGCAGCAGCAAATGATGCTGCAGCTGCTGCTGCTGCTCATGCTGCTGCAGATTTCGCTGCTGCTGCTGATGCTGCTGCTGCTGCTGCTGCTGCTCTAGCGAACGTCCCTGAACGCGCTGCTGCTGCTGCTGATAAAGCAACGCCAGCAGCAAAGTCAACGCCCCCCACACCCACTGCAGCGTTGAAGGGCTCCGCAGCAGCAGAAGCAGCAGCAGCTGCTGCTGCAGCAGCTGCGGCTGCGGCAGAGACAGAGGTCGGATTGCTGCAGCAGCAGCAGCAGCAGCAGCAGCAGCAGCAAACTGCGCGACGTCTTGAGAGACGCCAAGTGGAGGTTCGAGGGCAGGAGCAGCAACAGCAGCAGCAGCAGCAGCAGCAGCAGCTAGGGAAAAGAGAGACAGCAGCAGGAACAGCAGCAAGAACAGCAGCAGCAGCAACTAGAAAGGAGACAGCAGCAGCAGCAGCAATCCCTGCGTCGGAGCCTTCAGAGTCTGGTGATGTATGGGGATACAAAGGAGACAAAATAAATAAAAGAGACAAAAAAGGAGACAGTGAAGAAAATAAAATAAATAAAAAAGAAAAAGGAGACAAAGAAAATAAAATAAATAAAGGAGACAGTTCAGATAGAGAAGAGACAAAAAAGGAGACAGAAAAAATAATCAGCCAGGAGATGGAGGCGCTGCTTCACAAGTACTTAGGCACCCCGCTGCAGCAGCAAAGAGACACAGAGGAAACAGCAGCAGCAGCAGCAGCACCAGCAGCAGCAGCAGCAGCACCAGCACCAGCAGCAGCAAAAGCAGCAGCACCAGCACCAGCAGCAGCAGCAGCAGGAACGACACAAAGGAGACAACAAAACAAACAACCAGGGCCACCGCCATCCTCGAGGGTTAGGGAGACAGAAGGAGACAGAAATGCAGCAGCAGCAGCAGCAACAGCAGCAGCAAAAGCAGCAGCAACAGCAGCAGACATAGAAGCACAAAAAGGAGACAGAGAAGAAAAAGAAGGAGACAGAAAAGAACAAAAAGGAGACACAGCAGGAGACAATTCAAATGCAGCAAAAGAGGAG